GAGTATCTTCAACGAATATTTGATAACCCCAGGGATGTGCTGTCTAACTTATAACTACAAAATAATACCGACAAGGGACACGGCGGAAGCACGCTATCATTTTAGGTTTTGCCCAACTTTCTGTTTAGTACGAACGTTTTTATCAATATTGCGCGTAAGGACCGATTGCTCGAAAATGGAAATGAAAGTGTAACATTCCAGTATCGCGATAAAACTCCGATATATGCAGATATGGAGCACATAATTTAAAATAATATATAATACAACACGCATATTTGGTTCTTTAAAGTTATATATTAATAGAAAATTCATGATATTAAAACTATAAGAATCTTCTAAATAACAAATGATAAATATGTTCGCGTTAAATGACGTCATTTAATTTTTATGCGCGATCTCGCGTGAGCATGAGGGATCGGTATCTCTACCCTCAAATCGACACATTTTATGGCTCCGCGATGTGGGACAGTAAAATGTTTCTTCTATTAATTCGAATAAAAACACTTTTCGCCGTTACCATTGAATAACACTTTGTTGCCACATGTAAAATATTAGATTGGATTATCGATCGGGTAATATCCTCGTCGAATTGAGATAAGGGAACAAAATTAACCAATGATAACCGCTGTTACTGACGCGCGTACCAATCTACGTCATTTCATATCTCGATCTAACCTTTCCAAGACTTGCATTCCATGATGCAACTCCTTGTGTGTGTGTGTGTGTGTGGCTACGTAGTTTGTTAAAATGAAATTCTAAACGAATTCCTCTTATTCTTGAACTTTTTGTCGGATACTTTTCACAATAGAGAGAAAACGTTCCCAAGCGCGTCGGTGACGATACGAGGAAAGGACGTCTCGTCGATTCGGCGCGAAGTCGTTTCTTCCTGACGAACTCGTAAAAGCGAGACCGAGGACCGTAAACTCACCCCGGGGAAGGTCGGACGGAGATGCTGAATATTCACGAATTCGCCGACCTACACGCCGTACTGCATCGAGGATGGTTCCCGCGTGTGCGCGCGTGTCTTACATATTCCGTATCCACGTAGGTGGGCCTCTCCCGATGCTTCTGTTGCGAGCGGAGCTGAACTTTGTAGAGCGTTAGAGCTCTCGGGGATACCAAGTCCAAGAGAAATAGCTAGTTTCGAATTTAATCGTTTTCCTCATTCATATATTAACTTGATTTCACACCGTCTTAATGAACTCCTTAATGATCGTGTTACGGAAGATTGGCAGATTAATGTCCTGCCAATGCGGTGCTAAGAAGGAATTTCTTCATCTAAGTAATTCTTATTCAGAAAGATATTGAAATTCCCTTAAGTTTATATTTGAAAGCTGAAAGAGTGAGAGAGAAAGAGAGAGAGAGAAAAGACTGTTTTATTTTTGAAGAAATTGTAAATCAATATTCTGAAATTCAATCATTTTTGTGTAATTTATTTTACAAAAATAAATAGTGAGATAAAAAATTTTTAATTTGAAAAAATCGAGAAATGGATATATTTTTTTTAATCGCTATTATATTCAAGACAAAAGAAAGAATTCATTAGAGGGATGAAAGAATTCTTGAAAACTCCGAGAGATTAAAAAAAGATTAAGCTTTTTAGAGAAAAAGACACCAAACAAATTTCTTTCATCGAAGAACGGAATAAGAAAATAATATGGATGTAAGGAAATTATGCAATATATATATATATATATATAAAAATTTAGATAATTAGAATTTCTTGGAAGTGCAATCTGCATACATCAGCTCGCTCGTCATTCATGTGCATCAAGATGGCACGTCCGACATTTATTCAAGGAACTGTTTTTCATCCTCTCTTATACTTGAGCTGGTATCTATCTCACATCCATTATCACTCCCGTCTAGGCCCGCCAATTAATCACGGAAAGGAAATAAGATTTACCAACAGTCGTAGTGGAAAAATAATTATCTCAGCCACATTATCTCACACGCCAGCTTTATCACAAACCGCCCTTTGCTTATCCTGTTATCTAAGCACGTAACATCCCTGCGTAGACGCCGTTTATCGGCACGACATCCTTCTCTTTTAGTCTCTTTTAAAATATGTTTTATATTCTCAATTACAAACAGATAAAATCAGTAAAGTATAGGTAGAATCATATGTATAAAAAATTTAATCATCATCTATATATAATTCTTAGTTTTTGACGATAACAAGAGGTTTAAATTAAACCATTAAATAAATCAATCAATCTTAAATTTAAAAAAAGGTGCTAATATGCGTGCATGTGAGGGTTGAAATTAAATTTTGGTGCTTAATAATATCTTTATAATATATAAAAATTCAAACACATCTTCCAGTACTTCGAATTAAGTTCTTTGCAATGTTTTAAGATGTTTGTTAGCAATCGTTATTATTAAATTAACGATCAATATATGTATATTCAATTTATAATATTACTATTTCCAGCTTTAATTCAGTATTACGTTTTCAACATCAATGTGTTTAGCGCGCAATTTGATAAATTGAAAAATATATTCAAATATTCATATAGAGATATCATTAAGCACCAAGATCTAGCTTCGAAACATCGCGTATTACAGCTAATTAATTAAATCTTGATTGACTTTTATGTTATTTCTCTATAAGAACATCTTTAGCAAAGTGAAATATAAACCATCAACAAAATCGCAAAATTGATACTACATGTAGGTATTTCTATTGATGATTCGCAGGAGTGGCAATATATTGTCACTATTTTGCTAGTCGCGAACGAGGTCAGGCGGGTCAGGACCATCGAGAGATAACGCGCGTAGGGACGATATATAAATGCGGAATGCAAATTACTGTTAACCCCATTGGTCACTTTTTGTGCGTTCGTTTATGTGCGAGAGATCCGAACAATTCGTTGTCGGCTCTGTGCTTCGGGGTTGGTATGGATTGGCTTCACGTCGCCAATAACGAACTGCAGCATCGCCAGCTCCGTGTTTCGCATTTTACCTCGCCGTCCTGTCTCGTCGCCGGCTTGTCGACGTCCCTTTCTCTAGATCCTGTTTGCTTTAAACTTGCAAGCGTCGATAATCGAGTTGCGAGCTCGTTCATTGTTAACGTATTATTCTTCGCGCGCTGATGAAACGGAAACAAACGGACAACGATGGAACGGCACTCGAATGTCACATCCGAGTTCGATTAATATGCGTTAAATGGATGATGATCAACGGAAGCAGAGGGTTATAAAACGCGTAGAGAGGTGCAATGAGATATTCGCACGCGCATAGAAGTATAATTGATAATATTTGTTAATGAAGAAAAAAAAAGAGGTGAATGATTCAATAGAAACCAAAATACAAAATCGATACATTTTCTTACAATTAGTTGTAAAATATTTCATGGTATTTTCACAATTCATATAAATTTTTGGCAACGACTGTGTTTAGTTTATTAATGTTAAACGATCGAAACAAAATTATTGCATAAAACATTATTTCGCTCTATCAAAGATCGTAAAATTGATTATTAAACTTTCATAGATACCCATAAATTGAAAGTGACGTTGCTGGCATTTGTACTTGATTGCGATCTTAATCAAGTTATTAATATATGATTATAAATCGATCGGCACAATAGTCTGGGCTGTGCTCTGATTATTTCATGGCGATCGAAGAATGAATTTTCGGGCGGAACTCGAATAACATTACTAACGGTTTATCGCCGCTTAACGGCTGCGTGCATAATGAGAGGAAGTGAATCGCGATGTCGTATCATGCGTATTATGCGGAACGTATGTACGTATAGCATATGTGGGTTTTATATAATAAAATCAGCCACTTCACGAGTGCTGTAACATCGGTATATCGCCCACGGTACGCGTAAGTCATAAAATAATGGACGTTGAATATGCGTGATTAATTTCTCCCACGGCGACAGAAATCGTCTAAAGCGGAAATGCATTTAGGAGCAATTTATCGCCGAATATATACGTGACACGTACTTACATAAACGTGACAAACGCGCTATTTGCATTCCACCGGCTTTCGTTCCCGTAAATTCTGTCGGCGCCTGTGATAATTTATAAATTCGCGGAAATAACTTATTTTAACTGACAGCGCACTCGTCAAAATTGTAACAGCGATGTAATTAAATTTATTGCGACATTTATTAATTTGTTAATGCGGATTGTAAATAAGTACTGTGATAATATAGTTTCTAAAAATATTGAAAAATATCCACAACTTATTTAATATAAAAGTATAAAAGTTGATACTTCTCAGAAAGTAGAACTTTGATCATTTTCTTCAAAATTGGCATGTAATAAACATCCTTTACGAGAATCGTGTACGATAACAAATTATTAAAAATTTCTATTTATATATAGTTGAAAGATATACACTGGCCACACACAACATATTACAAATTTAATCAGTGAAAATAAATCGTCAAGTTAATATTCTTTCCAAATTATGTTTAATCTCTAACTTCTAAAAGCACAATTTTTGACACATCTCGTGTGGTTAAATAATAGAATTATCTACTTATATCTGAAAAAAAAAAAGGTAGAATGCAACTGCATTAATAATCGTGCATCGAACGTAAACACGCGGTGTTGAAAATGTCAAAGTAGTTTCTTATTCATAGCGAACAGCGAAATTAACGTTGCTCCGCTCTTAGCAAAGTTTGGCCAAGATACGATCGATGAACGTCACCAAGCGAAACGATACGCTCGGCCGGAGCGAGCGCGACGCTGCTGCTCGATCTCGAGATGCGAAGCTGCAACACGTTGAGCGAACCCGAAAGTTCGCTCGCTGGAAACGGACGATAAAGCGGCACGGGCGACCGTCGCGACCGGCCTGATAATGCCGCCCCTTCAAGTAAATGATCGACCGATGTGATTGTTTCAGGCATGCTATGTGTCAGAGCATCGGAAACGGAGGTCCGTGTAGAAGATGACGGGGTTAAGTAGATAAAGGGAGCAGGCCTGGCTGCCATCGACGACGGACGATTCCCTCGGCTCTTCTCTTTCTCACCGCAGCGCACAATGCTCTGCCACCGCGCCCTTGTCATTCTCATCGCTGTCAACGTGCCAATCGGTAAGCGATTTCAATTCTGTCACCTCGGACCTCTACCTTCCCTAATTATATTTCGAAATGATTTGAAGAAATTTTTGAAAAAAAATTAACACGAGATATCCAGAATTTCTTCTGAAAATATTTAAGACGTACCGTTTTTATTTTGAATTGTTGAAACTTATACTCGCTGCTTTGCATATGAAATTTACAATAAAATTAAAAGGTATTCAATGTATGTATCACAGATATTTTATACATATTACGTAGAAGGTTTTATCTTTTGGAATTGTAAATATATTTCCAAAGAATTTGAAAAAGTAATTGTCAAAACGTGTCTATTCTTCTCATTTTAAATCGTCCCCTTATTTCAACAATTCAAAAAATTAAGTTTTTCAGAAAAGAGAAAAATCTACTTTTCAATTTAACAGAATATTATTAATTAATCAGATAGTTATAAAAGTTACAAAAAACAAATTCGAAACATTTCATCAAAAGTAACATATCTTGAAATATCATCAACAATTTACTTTAAAAAAAAGTTCTTCAACCTTCGATCAATAAAACTGTCTTAACTCTAAATATTCTGTATAGAAGACTCTTTTTTATTTATAAAAGCAATACAAAATATTTAAATATGTCACTTTTGAGAAAGATATTATATTATGATCTTTATGAAAACCATAAGAACGATACAAGTGTTATTTGATGAACAAACTGTAAAGTTAAATTAGTTGCTTGTAAAATGATCGATGGATTAATCTTCATCTCTCTCTGACTCATTCATTTTTTTAGTTGTGTTACTTTTGAAGCTAATGGAGAACTTCAAATTATTTATCCACAACGAAATATTTAGAGACAGCTTTTAACAAGAAACTTCTCTTCGTTCGCCGATCGCATTAATCGAGTATTCGATGCAACTAAGTAAATTGAAGCACGTGCACGATTTGATCAGCGAGCTTCTGTTACATATATCATTCCCGGTCCATTACATCCGATACGCTTATTGCGATTGACGCAGAAGTCGATACATTGCGAAAGGTGTCCGATACGAAATCTGTTGTGCCCGACAACGAGCAATAACGCAGATGCAACGGGGGCACGATGCCAACGACGTTCTATATACGCAGTCCGCAAAATAAATAAAGTGTAGTTCGAGTGCCACTTCGCTGCGGAAGCGCGACGCCATCCACCGTCGAGCTGTCAGATTCTTGCCCGAATGTTTATCCGATAGCAGTAAATAGAGAGGAAGCGATTGCGTTTTTGCAAATATTTCATCCTGCTGCGTTACGATTTATTACCCACGGGGCTATTCTACTTCGATATACGACACCCAAATACACATGTTGTCAAGTTTATCAAATTTCTTGATAATTCTTCTTTTATAGGGCAGACAAATAAGATTCTTGGATAATTAATAGAAATAATATAATAATTTTTTGTATATAAAAAGAAACAAGCTTTTTGGAGAAGAAATTTTACATCTTCCCGATCAGCACGCAATTTTAAAACGTTTTTTTTTAGAAATGTTTTTTAAATATTGTGTGCTTCGATTGAGTTCTTAGTGTATCAAAGGGTTATTGAGCTCTTTTTTAATTTCAAAAATAGTCTCCAAAATTTCCACCAATTCTGAAAAATTAATTTTTCATATTTGTTTTTATACTAGTTTATATCCTCATATTTTTATTATAATTAAACTTGTGTCTAATCCAATTCTGTATATAGATATTCCGGAACAACTACCTATTCTCTTTAAGAATCGTGATAAAAGCTTAATAGCTTGTGCATTGCCGAGTAATTGCTCTTTCCTTTTTCGTGATTGATGTACCGATTAGCTGCTCGACAATCGACTCAACGCAATAAATTCGATTTAACCTCAGCCGTACTCGATCTTGACATATAATTCTGCCAATAGGTACTATATACTAGACTATGCATCGATTATCCATCTATTGAGCAATTGAAACATGATTAAGATGCAACTTAATATTACAAAATATAACATAATTCAAAATAGTTGCATAAATCATATAATTATGTCAATAAATTATTTGTTGAATATTTATTATACAAATAAGCGCCTATGTTATAATAAATTCTTAAATGTCATTCAAAGATTTTCGTTCATTACACAACAGACACGAATTTATTTCATTTATTTAAAAATTATTTAATGCTCGAATGATAATGAACGATGATCGTTGCTTTTAATGTTTTAATGGGAGCATTATTAGCAATTAAAATCAATATTTAAATTCCTTTCTATTGATCCAATTTTTCAAGTAAAAATATTTTCTGATAAAACAAAAATATGTTTTCGATATATAAAAAATATCAATCAAATTATAACGTAAATAAAAAAAAAACAACCACTGCCGAATTTTACTTATTTATTCCTGATTCTAAATGCATCGCGTAAAATAACTGAAAACGATCTGTAAATCGCTTGAAAGAGCATATTCAAGTAAAATGTGCACGAGTTGCACGAATGTAGGTAATTCAAGTCCGAGTTTATTCGCAATTAACATGAGCTAGTTGAGAAATAATAAACGAACGCTCATCGTGAAGTCCGAACCGCGCGATGACAACATCTGGCGCGGATGCCGTGGTACTAAATATACGTATATCATACGAACGCGCGTGCATGGTATATCTCGAATGTTGCCGGCATCCAAAGTGCGTCAGAAACGCCGCGAGCCTGGTCGCTGTCACTGATGTTTATTGGCACAGAGAGCGTCCACCACACGTACTAAAATTAATGATAGCTTGTTTAGATTATAGTCCACGGACGTAGTTGGCCTCCGGCAATCTACCCATGTCACTTAACTCTAGCTAAACTTTCGCGATACAAGGATATGCGAAAGTCAATGATTAAGTTATTAAAAATATAGAGTTTTAGCGCAAGAATAATTCTACCATCACACGTTGATGTTATTTTAGAAATAATTTATAAGTTAGAATATATAAGTAGTTCACAAACGAAAATATAGTCATATCTCGAAAGTCGGATCTCGCACGGAATGCCAGAGATTCGGATTCGACTCCCGGTCGAGGTAATATTTTTCTCGCAATATAAATTAATTATTTACAGATTTTTAATATTTCATTCAACATTATTAAGATCCAAGATGCTATGAGCATCGAAATTGTTAGATTGTTAGTCAATTTAACTCGTGATAGTACTGCGGTAGTTTATTAGAGTCTGCGTTGTAAGTCTGAAAAAATTTCGGCGCGCATCTTTTAAGAATCTACATACATAGTATATAAATTCACGAAATTATAAATTAGAAGATCCAGCTTGACCGTTACGGCATGATCTCATCGGTACTTATTAGTTTAAACTCTCACGGTCCAATAAGATTTGATATTATATAGTCTTTAAATATTTCGTAATCTTCTCTGAGATACGATAAATTTAAAACGAATTTACAATAGGATACCTTCTGCGTAATATTAATATCAGCAATATTAATACCGCGATATCGTCCTTTTTATCTCGACATTAAACATCAATGATTTTTGTGGAACAACACAAAGTAAAAACCAAAAAGACAGACTCGTGTCGATGTGGAGATAGAGTCGGGCAGTTTGCGATCGACGGATACATGTTCTATAATCCGTCCTATGCAACGCCGACGACGTCCGATGCAGATGCAATGGAGGATCGGTGCCAAATACGTTATACGGGCCACGGGAAATGGGCACGTAGATCGCAGATATGGCGCGTCCTCCAGTACTGCGGCATGGGTCGCTCTAGTCTGGTCAACTTCTGGCCCTGATGTTTATTCGGCGCGAGTGGAAGCGCCGACTGCGCTTGTCGTTCGAATTAATTTACCGCTTGCGGGCCTCCGGTCTCTTCACAGATATAGATAGATAGATAGATAGGTAGGTAGAGAGATAGATAGACAGAGAGAGAGAAGTAGAGTCTCGACGGTATCGTTCAATCCCGTTAGAAACGAGTACAGGATCTATATTTATATATTGTCTAATATATCCGTAGCACAAATTTTAACTGAATATAGGATTTTTGTTAAAAAATTTGTAGATGCGCGTTTATTTCTAGCCTATCTAATTTAAACGGCGCGACCTACGTCTTCAGACAAATTAGTACAAAGAAACGTTTCTGTCCAAATATGTCTATTTAAATTAGTTTCGCGTGAATAATTTCATTTGATGTCTCCACAAAAAAGAGTTTTATATATATTCTTCTAGAGCAGATCTTTATATATACATATATATTCAAGCTCACTCTTTGCAGATGTTGTCTTTTTCTCTTTGGACAGACGTTGAAAAATTGAAGCGCATTGTCGAAAATTACTATCAAATTGGCCGTGCAATGTCGTAAGACGATATCTTTGTCAACCGCAAGGAATACCACCTCACGTCCATGCTATAAAGAAACTGGAGTGCCTTATCCACCGGTAGTCAGTAAGACGCTACAAGTCAAGCGTTTCCAGATGCATCATGAAAAATGCACCACCCAAACGTGTCTGGGACCGACGTAAGATCGGCAGGGTGGACTCTGGTGGAGATTTGACTCGATGAATCGAGTGAACGGCTACTAGCCGTGAGTGAAAGAAAGAAAAAGGGAACAAACGACGGAGGTTTTATCCGTCGGTGACCGGATAAGATTGTTTGTCTATACTGCGGATCAACGGTGAGATTCACCGATTGTTCCACAGGGCACTGCTGGCATCGCTTTTCCACCCCCTGGCGTTCCTTATCGAGCAAACAACGACCTTTCCGACCAAATTGGTCGGTCTGACTCGGAACCGAGTAAAACGTGATTAATCGCTCGCCTCCTTTCGCGGGAATGTATCTGCCTCGCCAACCCTCCAATGGTTATATAGCGATAAACGGATAACCGCGGTCCAGACCCAATTGAGTCTCGATCCGATATAGGATAGATGCACCGCGCGCATCGCTTTCGATCTTGGGGGAAAAAAAGTAATGCGAAAAACGGAAGCAGAAGGAGACAGCGTGAGAGAAGGATATGTTCGTTAGGTGTTAGTTCGTTAAACCGA